TATCGTGTTTAGCTCGTGATAGATGATCTATTTTGGGAAATATTTTAGGAAATAACTACATTTTGCGAGACATTTTATATCATACTAATATAATATCAAATAAATAATAATATATTATAGTACGTTGCTGGCTTAGCCGCTTARGGTCGCGACACACTACAGCTGTTTTGACGAAAAAGTTTTCCGAGTCCTGGCCTCCTTTGTAAATTTATAATTATAATAAATTTTTTTAAATTTTTTTATTGTATTATAATATATTTTATTTATGGCGGGGCGATAGGTAACAAACAAGAGTGGCGGGGAGATAAATTTTATACGGTGTACTGGCGGGGCAATAACTAACAAGTACCGTTTTTACTACAGCTGGTTTAGTTTTTAGAAATTAAAAAGGTTCATTTTTTAATTCCATCGATAAACAGATTGGTTTTGAAGTATATAGATGGTCGGTTCATCGTAGTATCTATACACGGCTACACCATGTTGTAACGTATAAATAGTCTGTAGCGTAATTAGGAATTTGGTTTTTTTTTACTAGCCTCACACAGTAACCTACCCCACCAAATATAAAATGTTAGCAGTATATTAAAAGTTTTTTTGTGGATCTATCCCCCTCATCCCCCTTGATTACGCCACTGGGTGTGTACAGTATAGGGCAAACATTATTTTACTTGGAAATATAGCACAAAAAAATACATAGGCATTACATAATATTGGAATTTGTATGACTCCTGCAGGAATGCTCAAGACTATAAAATATTTTGAAAATTGACTCTTCCATGACAACAGTTTAATATATTTAAACATATTTTAATGTTATATATATATCTATGTAACTTGTTTCGTTGGTATATTTTTCGTCGTTGTTCATTTTTCTTCGGTGTTTTTTCTCATCGGTGTAATTTTTTCGAGATTCATTCGTGCGTTCAGATAGGTAATAACGTCCACTATATAGTCTACCGAAACGTTCGTGTCGTGGGCACGGTCTATAAGAAGAAGATGGCGCAGTCGTGATTTCGCGAGTGCCATTGCCCCCGAACTGCAAGTCCTGCCAAGAGYATTTCGTCGTCGCAGCATCGCGATCAAAAAATACTAACAATATTATTATGGTGTCGCTTTGCTCGTCACCGGCGGAAGCCACCATTTTGGCGCTGTTATGTTGGACGTCTGCTGCAGCCGGGTCCGCCGTCCCACACAAACACACGCCGTCGTCTTGTACCGAGCAGACGGTACGCATGCGGCCGGGCAACTATTTGCGGTGTCTGCTGCACTTYGGCAAGTGCGTGAACGACGCCGGCCCGTACGACTACGGTTACTACGACGCGCTGCGCCGGAACGTGGCCGACTCGTGTCGTGATTTCACGAACCAACCGAACGTGTCGCCCGCCGCCCGCCGGCTGGTATACGATACCGTCAACCTGTACCTCCAACGCATCGGGCAGACGGTGTACCGTCAGGAGATGGGGAGGGCGGCGGAGACGCAGAGCTCGGCGACGGGCGCCGCCGATAAAATTTTCCCGCCGGCGCGTCGCCTTGTCGTTATCGTCGCCGCCATTTCGAATGCGGCGTTATACCTGATTATTTACGATGCAGGGCGGAAAAAGTGTTCATAATATACTTTTTTTTTTATGTATAACATAA